GAAAGTTTCGTAAGTTACTCTTTGGATAATTTGTTAACCTGTACAGAAAATAATATGAAACGGTTCTTGCTCATTATCGAAAGCTTAATTCTATTTGATTAGGAGTTGAATTGTCATTCATTAGGTGTTAGTCGCTTTAACTTTGGAGCGAGTGGACAATGGTCAACCCCAGTGGACAATGGTCAATCCCAGTGGACAATGGTCAATCCCAGGGTCAATCAGCTGGACACCGTATATCAGTGGTAGGTTCAAAATATTAAGTGTTCTTAACACATGGAAATCGGTTTAATATTTTTATTCGAAAATTACAATTTTAGACCTGAATTGAAAAGAGATTAACAATTTGAAATCAAAGTTTACAAGTGAGCTAAGGTGACACAACCCTATCGTTAATAGAGTCACCAGACATTTTGTCTTTATTGTACGTATCTTTAGTGAACTTGTTGCTGCAAACATAGACCTTAAAAAAACAAGACCTTAAAAAAGGTCTAAGCTGCAAATCAACTTGGCTAATCAGTAAATAGTTTTACGAGGTGACTTGTCCCAGTTTCACATGTGCTGACTGTAAACATTCGGTCACGGATTCCTACGGGTTTTGACTCTTCAAAAACGATGCGGACGTAGCTAGTGTAAACAAAGCGCGCCAATGAAACAAATTGTGCTCCACTATCAAAACGAAGGAAAGGAATGCTCATCATTTCTGTAAAAAATACAATCCCGACCGTATTCTTCTTGCTTACGCGGTAGACAATTTAAGGCAACACATCCTATTCGGTTTCGCACTCAACTTCGAATTGAAAATACTCTCTTTCGCCCATACTGGTGTTGAACATATTCTCCTTCGTCAAAAATTGTACTCTATACGTCGCCCATAATTGTACTGAATATACTCTCCTTCCTTTGCCCAAAATTGTACTGAATACTGTCTTTTTCGCGAGCATATCGTTTTAGCTAATGACTTCATTATAAATTCAAAATGGCGGCCAAACAACGTCTTTTTCTCCACATACACATTTGGTAAACAACACAGAACAAACTTGACAGTTTTTCTTTGTTTCTATGGAAATGATAACTGCGCATTTGTTTTGGCAGGCGACTGACAAGTATTGTGAAAACAGGAAATCAACAAAGACAATAGAGATTCGCTAAATCAACATTTCGCTATTACGTAATTTTACCACAATTCTCTAAAATAGTAAGTCGCTTTTTCAACATGTTTTACAGTATTCTCTACTTCGCCTATAATTGTATCGTAAAAACTCTCCTTATATATTATAATGAATATATGCTCAATAAATTTATTTCCTTCCCCAATAATTGTACATACATTTTTCACTGAAGTATTAATATACTTCCGCATTTTATAGTCACGCGTCCTATTTAAAAACACGTTCCTTCACTCCTTCGCTCTCCGTCGTTTAAGTAGCACCCCGTTTAGACTCTTCATTTGGTTTGGAAGACTGGACTGAAGACCTTGGTTGGAGATCACTGAGTTGAAAAAGGCACACGCTGTAACTGGCGTACGGTGGTCGCGTAGAACACATTGCACATCACGTAACATTGCCGATATAATGTATCATCTTAAAAAATTAAATGTTCGTTTTGCGAACGCATTTCAAAACGTGCATCGCGATGGCAACACTGCATGAGTCTAAATGATAAAGTAAGGTTCTACAAATATTTGTAGAATGTAAATAATTTACAAAATTACGCCATAGTGCACATTCTCTCAGAATTGAGAGTGCTTGTTATGTGACCCCCAAAGATAGATATTGTATATACTATACTTTGAATGTAGTAAAGGGGAAAGCTTAGCTTAACATTCAATGCACAGTTATAAGCAATGGACTTACAACAGGACATTTTACAATCGAACGAGGCGTCAGAAAGGGGGATCCCCTTTCACCGGCACTATTTATACTTGCACTGGAAATATTTCGTTTGTCGATAAGGTCAGATCCAGATGTTGAAGGAATACGGTTAGATAAAGATATAGATGTGAAATTTAGCATGCACTTTTAAATTCTGGAAACAAAGAAATCTTACTCTCATTGGAAAATCTCAAATTATTAAATCGCTAGCAATCTCCAAAATAATTTATCTTATGCGCATGACCAATACACCTGATACAATTTTTTCTCAAGTGAACACACTTTGTTTTTTGTTTTTTATGGGGCGGAACAGATAAAATCGCAAGGAACACGATGTTGTCGGATATAAAGAATGGAGGTCTTAATATCCCAGACGTATTTGTCTTGAGGAATTCATTTCGAATCCAAACAATTAAGAAATATTTGGACCCGACATTCCATCACCCATGGAAATATTTCTTCACACATATACTACAACCTGTAGGCAGCTCATTTCTATTTAACTGTGACTCCAGCATCGAATCTCTTCCTATAAATTTATCACAAAGAAGCTCTTACGGCATGGAGCAAACTTCTACACCTGACTGGAAATAACCAACGGTGGCATGGCATATATCAACGATCTTTTTACCAACGGTACGATAAAAACAGCAGCTGTATTTTGGGAAGCTTATAATTTATCAAGTGTTGATTACGTTCAAGTCC